AGAATCAAAGAAAATGGTGTCTGTAAAGTGGAGAAAAAAGAAGTACCTGAATTCAGGGTATTTTAATTCAGGTTAGATTTAGGGAGTGAGAGAACAAGGAGTCAAGTGGAGGTATTAAATGATTTTTAAAAGGCTGGATGCAGTGATGCACACCTTTGATCCCAGCAGTCAGGAGGCAGAGGCAGGTGAATCTCTGTGAGTTTGAGGCCAGCCTGGTCTACAGAGTGAATTTCAGGACAGGTTTCATAGATACACAGAGAAACCCTACCTGGAAAAAACAAACAAAAAGATACAGGGGGGCAGAAGAGGTCTGCCAGCTGACTCCAGGAACCCATCAAACTTTAAATCAGAAAAGGAAGGAAATTCTGCAAAGGTCTTGAGTGAGATGGAGCAGCATTGGAGAAGAGTGGCAGCTGTGACAAATGTTGTCATGCCCACACTACCAAATTCTGACATTTATTTCTGCATAGACCGTTTCTCCTACAGCACCCCCAAAGTAGCAGGAAGGCTGTACAATCTGTGTATCTACTGACTTTTTCTTATAAGCCAATATTTCTTCTTTCTCGATTTAGGGGACCTCACCAAGCAGCTTCCTCTTATGGTGGTGGGGGAGCACAAGGACAAAGTGATTCAGTGCAGATGGCACACCCAGGATCTTTCCTTCCTGTCATCTTCTGCAGACAGAACTGTGAGCCTCTGGACTTACAGTGGCTAGAGTCCACCCCATGTAGGTCTATGCAGTGAGGGAGCACAGAGAGACTCGAGACTACTGAATTGCGAGGACTACAGGCCTGAAGAACATGACCGCTCCAGACAGACTTTGGCACAAGGAAGCCCCTTGTTACCATGTCCTACCAACAGAAGGTGTTGGGTGGTGGTTTTCAGTCTTCCACGGGTGTTCATGCTGCTGTGTAGTCTCCTTGCCAAAGTCTGCAGAAGAGCTCTTATGTTGGTGTGCACGCCAAGTCAAGGTACAGGATGTGTTCATGGTTTATTATTAAATGCACTCCTTGGGTTTTGCCCAGATAACAGTTTTATACACACACTGACACGGAATTAATATTTAAGTAATTGTTACATATAATACAGCCAACTTCTCCCCAGATGAAACATAGGTGTTCAGAAATTACTTTGCTCTTGTCACAATCCCATATTGTATCACGTGTCTTCTAGAGGTCAGAATTTAGTAAGTCTTTCAAATTTTTCATGACTGTCTCTACATAGGGATCATTTTTAGAGTTCACAGGGGAAGGGGAAACTGCTTCTCTGCTCGTTCTGCAGCAACCATTTCGTTTCCTTAATCCAGGGCGTGGCTGATAATTTGTCACATCACTTTGTTTTGGGCTAAAAGGTAACTATTTTGCTTTGGAAACTTGTTGATTTCAATTTTTTGAATGCACAAGATACCTCCCTCCCAAATGATACTGTAGAAACAGAACAGCCGCCAACAATATCTGATGGTAGGGTATATTTACTGGGTAGCATTTTCCTCTTAAAAATTAAAGACTCTGCCATGGCCCTAGCATGGCTTGAAAAACTGTCTGCATGATAATTTAAAATGGAAAACTGAAACTTTGCACTCCAGAAACTTATTTGGATTTTTCTTGCACAGTTTTGTGTAATGAAGAATAATGACTTTATTTGTACAGTACTATAGATCCTAACATTGTATGTATCTTTATTTTCATATTGTTCAGTATTTTACTTTAAGTTATTAAATAGGCTATTTTATTTATTTCAACTGCAGTTGTATTGACCTGTCTGTTCACTATATGTAGCAAGCATTTTAAATCTATAGTCTACAAGTGGGAAGGGTAATAGAAGTGTAACTGTGATTTTATTTCAATAAAGACCTCTTGACACCTAAGACTCTATTGGTTTCTCACAGGATAAGTCTATGGCACTCCATCCAGAGTGCTGCTGATGGGGATGTATAAAATAGACATACAGGACCCATAGAAAAGTGACTACTGAAACAAGATGGGACAATACTGTAGGGTTCCCACTTCATAAAAGAGTCTGCCAGACATTCTATAGGACACAGATAAAATGACTGACAAACTGCCAATACAGGTGGGACAGTTTGAAATTTCCTACTTTAATGAGAAGTCTGCCAGACACACTTGGCTTATGGGCTAAAGACAGAAACTCCAACGTTACAGAGGAGCTTTGGATGACTGTCCAGACAGCGAGATATCTCTGTCAATTCTAGAATTTATATATTATCCTTCTGTGGTCTTTGATGGAATTAAAAATAGTTATGGTTATGGTTTCATCAGTTATGATAAAGGAAGTTACATATAAGACTTTAGACTCATAAAGATAGGATAGATGATAGAATATTTTCTTAAGTCTTGCTAAATATTATTGAACTAAATATTATAACTATAGTTCTTACTTGATAAGTGCCTTGTTATATGTAATTTTACTATGTTAAAGTTAAAACCTTCCCTTTTATTTATTATTATTATTGTTTTGTTTGTTTGTTTGTTTTTCAAGACAGGCTTTCTCTGCATTGTTTTGGAACCTGTCCTGGAACTGTCTATGCAGACCAGGCTGACCTCGAACTCTCAGAGATCACCTGCCTCAAAGGTGTGTGCCACCCCTGCCCAGCAAAACCTTTCCTTTTATTTAGACAGGAAAGAGGAGATGTCTTCTGTACATATGTTTCTCTTATTGGTTGATGAAAAAAACATTGTGGCCAATAGGGCAGCAAGATAGGCAGGTCTAGGAGACTATGAGAATTCTGGGAGGTGTAGGCAGAGGCAGAGTTGTCATGGGAGCCTGGGAAGAGACAATGCCTGTGAGGGTTCCCTGGTAAGGTAAGACCATGTAGAAATACATAGATTAGTAGTTATAGGTTAATAATTAAGACAGCTGACCAATAAGAAGTCCAAGCCATTGGCCAACAGTAGTATAATTAATATAAGTCTCAGTGTGTTATTTTTGGGGTTGTCGAGGCTGTGGGACCAGGCTGGCAGGAAAGAGTTATTGTAACATGCTGCTCCCAGTTTCAGTAAAGGAAAATGGTTCCAAGGAAAAATGGAACCATACCCCGACCTTACTTTCCTAAAGCTCTTCCACTAACAAGCTCTGTAGGCCCTAGTAACAGATAGCACTGCTCTGCTCCACCCCATTTTGACCTTTCTCGATTCATTCATCAGGTGACTTTGCACATGCTAAGCAACAGTCTACTACTCCTGAGCTGCATCCCCAGCTTTTCTTGTGATTTTTTTTTTTTTTTTTTTTTTTTTTTTAAACTTAGCAAAGCCTGTCACAGCTGAGACTAGAACATAGCTCCATGGTAAAGCACTTGTCAGGGCACCAGGAAGGCCCCGAGTTCAGTCCTCAGCACTATAAAACAAAAAAAGCAAGGTTAAAGACCGGCGGTGGTGGCGCATGCCTTTCATCCCAGGACTTGGGAGGTGGATCTCTGTGAGTTCGAGGCCAGCCTGGTCTACAGAGTTCCAGGACAGGCTCCAAAGCTGCACAGAAAATCCCTGTTTTTGGGGGAAGGTGGGGATGGGGAGGGGAAAGCCAGGTCAATTCAACTACCTAGGAGGGTGTACCTGTTCTAACCCAGTGCTTTAGTAAGGTTTGGGAGCTTTGAAATGTTTAATAGCCTCACCCTATTATAATGGATATAATGCTCCCGGATGGCCTTCCAGCCCCCCCCCAACCCTCCCCCCAGAGAGGAGATGGCAAAGGGAGACTGGAAAAACCATGAATCTGTTTTCTGGGGGGCAGTATAAATACCATGTGGGAGTGGTCTTGGGTATATCTCGAGAAGGGGTTATCATTTGGAGGGCTTTTTGAGATGCAGCAGGGTTTGAGAGAGATAGGGGAGGGGGCTTGGGTAGAACCTCCACCATAACATCCCAGACTCTTTGGGCATGGATGCCAGGGGCTGGGGTGAAGCTTCCTTCCACCAGAACACCCAGCACCTGCACTTTGTAGTTCATAATCACCTATAACTTCACCTTTAAGGTATCAGATGAGATGTCCCTGCTTTCTGCTGGCACCTGAATTTACATGCATAGACACACATTCATAATTAAAAATAAATCTCAGGGCCAGAGAGATGGCTCAGCATGTTTAGATCATGTGTTGCTTTTGCAGAGGATTCCCAATACCCACATGGTAATTCACAAACATCCATAACTCAATTTCCATGGGATCTGACCCCCTTTTCAGGCCTCTGTGGATATGAGACACACATGTGGAACACATAATACATACAGGCAAAGCACTAATACAGAAATAAGTCTAAAAATACTAAAATAAAATCAAAACGTTGTAAACAACATATATGTACCCAAGAATACTGTTACATACCAGCAGTAATTCATTGCCAGTTAATTTTTGTATCCACTTCTGGGGTGGGGGCAGGGTTCCTCTTTGGTGAGTTTTTTGATATTGCAAAGCCAGAAGCTGAAGATAAACACAGAACAAACCTTACATCCCAAATGCTTTATAGTGTACCAACTCTTCGTTTGCCGGCCTCAATGTGGTGCTACTTAGAAACTTAAGTTTGGGGCTAGAGATTTGACTCAACGGTTACTAGCACTGGCTGCTCTTCCAGAGCACCCAAGTTCAATTCCCAGCAATCACATGGCAGCTCAAAACTGTCCAGTTTCAGAGGAGCTGGCTCTCTTACACATACATGCAGGCAAAACAATAAAGTAAAATCTTAGAAGAAAATTATGCTCGAAGTAGATTCGATTTTATTGTAAACACTATATCGTCGAACATATAAAAACAAGCAAACAGTAAGAAAATATATTTGTATTCCTTTAAAGGACTTGGGTTTCTCTCCCGGGACTCCCCTGAACCGGATTGGTGGTTGGATAATTGAAAAGCCCTAACCTCAGAGCAGAAGAGCGAAACCCATCCCGCCTCGCCCCGCCCCGCCCCGAGTCTCAGCCAATCAGTGGCGCGCACGGCAAGGCCGCACAGCCGCGCAGGCGCAGGCCGAGCGAGTCGCGGAGTAGGCACTGGATCCTGGAGTGAGCGCTCGGCGTGGGAGGTAGACGGCTCGCCGTCTTCCGTGTCCGTGCTGGCCCCGCTCGCTCTGGGTAGGCAGGCAGGGACCCGCGAAGTGAGTGGGCCTGCCCGAATGTGTCTGGGTGGCCCGCGGGGCTGAGCGGGAGGCGGTGCGGGAGGTGTCGGGCGGGCGGGTGTCAGGGCTTGGGCCTGTGGCGAGCGCCTGCTCCGTGTTGCCCAGGAAGATAGCTCCTGCCAATAATCGACCCCCTGCTTCACCTTCGTCCTATGGATACTGAGCGGCCCGGCCTAGGGGAAGAGCACTCTAGCTCTTGTTATTTCTAAAAACTAGGCATAAGAAAGTATTTGTTTTAGTTTATGCTCTAAAACTCCAAATCTATTTTGAGTATGTAAAGTTAAGAGCTGCCATAAGCCTGTGTGTTTATGACTGGGTGCGAAAACGAGTTAGGTTTTCTTCAATGCACTGAAGTATTTCTTTTTTGGTTTTCAAGACAGGTTTTCTCTGTAGCTTTTGGAGACTGTCCTGGAACAACACTTGGGAAGCAGAGGCAGGCAGATCTCTGAGTTTAAGGCTAGCCTGGTCTACAGAGTGAGTTCCAGGACAGCCAGAGCTACACAGAGAACCCCTGTTTCGAAAAAGAAAAAAGAAAAATGGTAAAAGAGGTAGAAACAGACTAGTTCGTACCGACAAATCGTAGAATAACACAAGTTCTTTCGATAAACAAAAGCAACATATGATTTTTTTTTTTTTTTGAGCCAGTCTCTTTATGTACCTCAGACTGACTCCAGCTCAGAAACTTTCTTTTCAAATAAGCGCTCAGCAGGTCTAGATGGCGCTTTGAAGGGATGCAAATCAGTCATAAGTATTTTTTCCAAAGAGTTCTAAGAAGCCTTAAATTAATGGTGACAGGACTCCTGGCAGGAGGGCTTGAATTCCCAGCTGATTCTACTTTTGTTTTCTTTCATAGCCCTGCACCTCTTGTTTTGTTTCCCAGCTCTTATTTGACCCCTGGTTTCCCATCATTTTAATCACTCTATAATCTTCGTTGACTCTTCACCTGCCGGTCATTATTGGCGGATGTGATACTGTTGCTAGTGGCATGACTTAGTGAGCGATGCTTGGCAGGCTGTCAGTCACCTTCCGTTATATAATGCCTCTGCTTTTATTTGCTAAATCTCCACTACCTCCACCCCAACATCCCTGTTTATTTGAGAAAGTTTGTCTTCCCTCTCATGCATTCTATTAATGAAGTGTGTGGTGACCTCGAAAGGGATACACGACACCTTTCCTGTATCCTGATTTTATAAACTACCATCTCTACAGAGCCTCAGTTCAGTTTATATACTCTTGCCTACTTCTTAAGTCTTTAGAATTAGGTCCTTCCCTATTTTTTTTTTTTTTTTTATTTTTTAGTAAATGGTCAGTGAGTTAATTCATCTAATGACCTTTTCTCAGGCTTCACTGAATTTCTTTGAAATGCTAACTATGACTAGGAGTTGTTTCTTTCAGTCAAGCTCCTCCTCGATGTCTTAAAAACCTTTTCCCTTTATTTTTATTTTGTTTATGGGTGTTTTGCTTACGTGCATGCAGGTCTGTGTGCTATGTGCATGCTGTCCCTGCTGAAGCCAGAAGAGGGCATCAGGTCCCCTGGAATTGGAGTTACAGCCAGTTCTAAGCTGTCATGTGGGTGCTGGAACTTGAACCTGGGTCCTCTGGAAGAGCAGCCAGTGCTCTTAACTGCTGAGCCATCTCTCCAGCCCCTTGACAAGACTATTTTCATTCATCCCAGATAAAGACAAAAGACAGCAATGACAGACCAAAGAAACAACAATTCCATCCAAGTCTAGCTTAGTGACTAATGAATGTATTGGGTTACTTATGGCACATGGGTGACTGACTGGGGTAACTGCATCTATAGAAGGGAAAGGTACACTATACCATGGGTGAGGAGACACTTGGAGGAAGCTGTCTTTGAAGAGTCCCCTTCTCCCCCCAGCAACTGTTTACCACGTTTGGGGGGTGGGGTGGGCTTCATCAGGCTGGTAAGACTGCCTGGCTTCGTGGAAGAGAATGCTTCAATAGAGTGGAGGCAGCTTGTATAATGATTTATAAATGGCCTGTTTTCACATTGCCTTACTGTGATTTGTCTGTATCTTAAACTTTCTTCTTGGATACAGGTCCACTGTTTTGTTTTCAGTTTAAGAAATTCAGGGGTAAGAGTGCCTGAGGACCTGAGTTGGGTTCCTATAACCCATGTAAAAAGCTGGATGCAATGACATACATCTCCAATCCCAGTGTTCCAACAACAGACAGAACTGGCTAGACAGATAAGCGTCACAGTGGCAAAAACAACCAGAGAAACTCTGCCTCAACAAGGTGGAAGGCAAGATGAGACTCACAAAACAGTTGTCCTGCGCGAGCATGTGCACTCGCACGCATGCACACGTACGCATGCACGCGCACGCGTACACACACACACACACACACACACACACACACACACACACACACACATAAATAAGGAAATAAATTCAGAAGCTGAGTGCCAGGAGGTCAGCTCATCATGAGACTGAGGTCAGAGGATATTTGAGCCCGGGGTTTTGATGTTAGTCTCGGCAATATAGCAAGACCCAGTGCAGGCTTTCAATCCCTTGGGAGGCACTTGGGAGGCAGAGGCAGGAGAATCTTTGAGTTTGAGGCCAACCTGGTCTACAGATCAAGTTCTAGGACAGCTTATGCAGAGAAACCCTGTCTCAAAAAAAAAAAAAACAAAACAAAGGGCCTGTTTTGTTGCATTTTAGTATATTCACAGATGTGTCTCACCATTATCACAGCTTTAAAGTTGTTCATTACTTATACCCTTCAGGGACAATTCCCATATAGCCCCCAAACCCAGCTTTAAACACACATTAATTGACTTTCTGTCATTACATTTGCATATCTGGACATTCATTTGAATGGAGTCATTGTCTTCTGACTGATTTCTTGTGCATTTTTAAAAGGTTTCATTTATGTTGTAAAATGGTATTAGCAATCCTACTTTTATGCCTAAATATCCTTTATGGCTATACCACATTTTTAGACTTTTGGGCTCTTTTCTGTTTTTTTTTTTTTTTTTTTTTCCGTTTGAAAAATTGTGTACCCATTCATATAGAAGTTTTTATGTGTTCATATATCTTTTGGATATAGAAGAACTAAGAGTAAAATGACAGTATCATGTTAAAAGAAATGCCTATATTTTAATGAGGCTACTTTGCATGTGTGTGTATGTGAATGTGTGAATACCATTTTATTGTATTTTTTAAAGCTATTGTATCATGCATCCCCGGCTTGTCTCCAGTCAGTATGTAGCTAAGGATGACCTTAAACTGTGGATCCTCCTGCATCTATCTCCTCAGTGTAAGGATTTTAAGTGTACACTATAATGCCTGTTTTATGAGGTGCTGGGAATTGAACCCAGGCTTTGTACTTGCTAGCAAAGTGTTCTTAACTGAGATATACCACAATCCATTTCAATGTTTTGCTTTTAATTTCATGTACATTCTTTATGGTCTTCATTCAGAAAGTGTTACCTCTTGAATTGAAGGAAGTGATTTTTATCAATGAAACAATTATTTAAAAGCTAATATTTCACTGCTTCTTTAAAGCTGTGTTCAGGATGCTGTGTCGGTTCCTCTGTGGATGTCTTTTACTGATGGCTGGTCATGCTCATGATGATGACTGGATCGACCCCACAGACATGCTTAATTACGATGCTGCTTCAGGAACAATGAGAAAATCTCAGGTATTGTATTTGTCATGACCAGAGCTCTGAGAGTCATATAAGTGATTAGCAGGCATGCAAGGTATTTTCCCGATACTCTTCCCCTCTTTACTACCATGCTTAAGGCCTTAAGATGATAGACAAGCACTCACCTGTCTGGTTATTTCTGTTTGAATTTGGATGTAATGCCCATCAAGCCGTTTGGTTTTGGTTCTTAGCATGTATAGTTGATTCTTCTTGGTGGTTTGATGCAAGTGAAGAATTTAAGAAGCAAAGTCATAAAATGATAGCCAGACTTTTAGTCTTTATTCACTGGAACTTGTTTTTACAACTGTGCATAAAAATTAAAATCTCTGATTTAGGTGAAATGTGGTATATCCGAGAAAAGGGAAGTGAGCCCTGACTCGTCAAACGAAGAGGAATTATCAGACTGTTTGCACAGACTTGATTCTTTAACTCACAAGGTTTGGTTTCTTTTCCCATTCACAATTTAAATATTATTTCAGTTACTGTGCTGGCTAGTTTTATGTCAACTTGACCCAAGCTGAGGTCATCTGAGAGGAGCGAACCTCAATTAAGAAAATACCTCCAAAGCCGGGTATTGTGGCGCACGCCTTTAGTCCCAGCGCTTGGGAGGCAGAGGCAGGTGAGTTCGAGGCCAGCCTGGTCTACAGAGATAGTTCCAGGACAGGCTCCAAAACAATACAGAGAAACCCTATCTTGAAAAAACAAACAAAAAGAAAGAAAGGAAGAAAGGAAGAAAGGAAGAAAGAAAGAAAGAAAGAAAGAAAGAAAGAAAGAAAGAAAAAGAAAAAAGAAAGGAAGAAAGAAAATACCTCCAGCTGGGAGGTGGTCGTGGCACATGCCTTTAGTCCCAGCATTCAAGAGGCAGAGGCAGGTGGATCTCTGTGAGTTCAATACCAATTTGGTCTACAAAGCTACAGAGAGAACCCTATCTCAACAACAAAATAATAAGATGGGGCTGTAGGCAAGCCTATAGGGCAATTTCTTTATTAGCAATTGATGAGAGAGGGCCCATAGTGGGTAGGACCACCTTGGGCTGGTGGTCCTGGCTTCTATTAGAAAGTAGGTGGAGTAAGCCAGTAAACAGAACCTCTCCATGGCCTCTGCATCAGCTCTTGCTTCCTGGTTCCTGCTTCAGTTCCTGTTCTGACTTCTCAGTGATGGACAGTGATGTGGAACCACATAAACCCTTCTTCCCCAAGTTGCTTTGGTCATGGTGTGTTATCACTGCAGTGGTGATCTTAACTAAAACAATTGCTTCTTTTCTTGTCTTTGCTAATTTTTATATTTGTAATGTTTCTGGGTACTATGAAATTATATATTTTTATTGATATAATTTAGTTACATCTTGTTTTTTCAAATAGTACTTAGTATTTTTTTTATTTATTTTTATTTCGTGTGCATTAGTGTTTTTGCCTGTATCTATGTCTGTATGAGAGGGTGTTGGATCCCTGGGAACTGGAGTTACAGACTGTTCAGAGCTGTCATGTGGGTGCTGGGAATTGAACCTGGGTCCTCTGGAAGAGCAGCCAATGCTCTTAACTGCTGAGCCGTCTGTCCAGCCCCAGTACTTAATATTTTTGTAATAACATTTATTATAATTATTTATGAGATTATAAACTTGTTAGTATAGGAGTCGATTTTATCTTGATTGTTAACACCTGCCATACTGCTGAGCCATTGATGATGTAATAGGTAAGCAGATGAGTAAATTGGCTTATTAAATGTTCTAACCGTTGCTCTTGCAAATGTGAAGGGGGGTTATAATTTAGTATTGGTAGCTCTTCAAGATTTTTAAATTTTTGTTTGGTTTGGTTTTTTTGAGACAGGGCTTCTCTGTGTAGCTTTGGAACCTGTCCTGTGTAGACCAGGCTGTCCTTGAACTCACAAAGATCCACCTGCCTCCTGAGTGCTGGGATTAAAGGTGTGCACCACTAACCCCGCCCCCTCTTCCTATCCCTCTCTGCTTCTCCCTTCTTCCTTCCTTCCTTCCCTCCTCTCCTCCCTTCCTTCTTTCCTTCCTCCCTCCCTCTCTCTCCCTCTTTAAATGTAGAGTTTATGTAAAAGGAAATCGAATGTTAAGGGATTTGCGTATATTTTCTGGTCACTGTGATGACCACGTTGTTTGTATAGACAGTGAAATGGTTATATAGCCTGGAAAGGGCCTGGAATGGGCGGGGGGTGGGGGGTGGGGGGAGGTTGCCGTGTGGTCACTAAGGAGGTGCAATGTGCTGATGGTCCAAAGTGACACAGTGATGAGAGTGAAGAGGTGGATATGGAACGTTCATAGGTAAGGGTTAGTGACAGTGGGTAGTGAGTGGGAGCTGTGTCCGTCTTGTGAGACTGTTAACTGAGGTCCACTTGAGTCCCAGTCAAGTGCTCTAATCACCTGTTTGCTCCCTCGCCCTCCCTCCCTTTAGACATACTTAATTCTGAGAGTATCACCAGGCTAGAATGTAGTTGAGTTGTGTGTGTGTGTTTTTTTTTGCTCTTTGGGGGTCACCACCCAGTTCCCTCCAAAAATAGGACACTTATTCTTACTTAATGAATGCCTGGCTGTAGCTTGGCTTGTTTCTAGCCAGCTTTTTCAACTTAAATTATCCTGTTTTTCTTTAACTATGTTTTGCTTCTGGGTTTTTTTTTTTTTTGGGGGGGGGGGGGTGGGAGGTTCAAGACAGAATTTCTCTGTAGCTTTGGAGCCTGTCCTGAATTTGCCCTGTAGACCAGGCTGGCCTGGAACTCACAGAGATCCCCCTGTCTCTGCCTCCAGAGTGCTGGGATTAAAGGCGCGTCACCACTGCCCTGCTGCCTCTGGGCTTTTGCTTTTCTTTTTCTATGTCTTTCTTCCCTTCTTACCCCATGGCTGGCTGTGTGGCTGGGAGGCTGGCCCCTGGCATCCTCTCAAGCCTAGATTTTTCCTGTTTATTCTCTCTGCCTGGCAGCCCCACCTGCCCGTCTCCTGCCTAGTTACTGGCTGTTCAGCTCTTTATTAGCCCAAGCCTGTTTTAGACAGGCAAAGTAAGAGTTTTACAGAGTCAAACAAATGCAACATAAAGACTGCAACACGTGGGAGGGGGAGGGGCTGTAGTTGGTATGTAAAATGAACAAACTTTTAGATAAGTAAAAAATTTTAAAAACATTTTTTAAATACAAAAAAGAGTGCAGCACATCTTTGCATCATCAAGCAAATGTCCCACAGCATACACAAATGTAATACATCTTAATGTTTCACAGCACTACAACTGAACCTTCTCTTAGCCTTTGATGCTCATGACTTCATTGTATGATTACAGGTTGATGACTGTAAAAAGAAAATGAAAGATTATGAAAGTCAAAGTAATCCTGTTTTTAAGAGATACCTAAATAAGATTTTAATTGAAGCCAGCAAGCTTGGACTTGTAAGTATTTGATGACATGATACTAATCATTGTAAGTAGATACTTTCATTAATTGTCTCACATAATATAAAAAATTGTGCCATGCATGTGACACACATCTTGTCATCTTAGCATTCAGGAGGTTGAGGCAGGAAAATTTCCAGTTCTGGTTCAGACTGTATCACCCTCCCACCCCAAATAGAGCCTCATTGTGCTTCAACAGAAAATAACCTGCTTCTCCCTTTCCTCAAGAGCTGTGTATACAAACTGGCAGGAACCATCCAGCCCACAGTGGTGCTGTGGAAGGCAAGCATACAGGCCACGCTGTTTTCCCCAAGACCTCTTAGGGTCAGTTCCATCGCCTCCACTGTTGTCCCACTAGGGAGAGAAGCCCATCCCAACCTTTCTTCTCATTTTCCATTCCCATACTTTCATAGCCATAAAATATAAAATCATCATTGAGGACAGGAAAAATGTGTTTTGAGTCGGCCTTCTCTTTGCTGTGCATTGTGTGGTAGGTCCTACTTTGTGGAATTGTGTATCGTGCACATATGTTGCTTATTATGATGATGAGAGTTCCTTGTATTATTTTGCAGTGCTAGAAAGCAAACCCAAGGCCTTGCATATACTGGGCCATAGTGTTACCACTGGGCAGTAACCCTAGCTCCAATTTCCCAGTTGTTCTTAGTATAGCAAAACACCTGAGATAATTAAGAAGAAAGGGCCCTTAGTTGATAGTGTTTGCCTAGCTTGTACAAAGCTTTGGAGTCCATCCCTAGCACCCCACAAACCAGGCATAGGTGTGCATGTCTGCAATCCCCAAGTTCAGGAGGTAGAAGCAAGAGGATCAGAATTTTAGTCATTCTTGGCTACATAGCAAGTTCAAGGTCAGTCTGGGATACATGAGACCCTGTCTCAAAAACAGAAAACAAACAAAAATCCAAAACAGCAACAACAGAGAGAGAACGTTTGTTTGGGCTCATGATTTTGAACATTCCAGTTTAAGACCTGGCATCTAGTAGGTATAGTAAATGATCATGGTTAGAAGCATGTGGTGGAATGTACATGTTCATGTCATGGCTAGGAAGCAAAAGGGAAGTACAAAGGAACACTGGTCCCATAGTTCCTTTCAAGGACATACCCCTAACTTCCTTCCATTAAGTCCCACCTCCTAAGGATTGGAACACATCCCTATAGTGATGCCCTGGGCATCAAGCCTTTAGCACATGGGTCTTGGGGCTACATTGAAAATCCAGACTGTAAAACCTGAGTGTACTGGCACATGCCTATAATCCCTGTGCTCAGGAGGCTAAAGCAGGAGGATCACTGCTTTAGGCCATCTTGGGCTTCATAAAAAGACTGTCTCAAAAATCAAACTAAAATCCAAATTATGTATCAACTGGTCAATGATTATCAGTTGCTTATGGTGATTTTTCTGAGCTGAACTTGGCACTAACAAAGAGGTAATGTTTTCTATTTCAAGGAAATGCATTTTTTAAAAAAATATTTATATTTTATTTGCATTGGTGCTTTACTTGTATATAGGTCCATGTGAGGGTGTCAGATCTTGGAGTTAAAGGCAGTTGTGAGCTGCCATGTGGGTTGCTGGGAATTGAACCCAGGTCCTCTGGAAGAGCAGTCAGTGCTCTTCAAACGCTCAGCCGGCCCCCAGAAACGCATTTTTAAAAATATTTTAAAACATGTTTTTATTTGACTTACTGTAAAATTTAGGCTATCTGAAAATTGTGTCAGCAAATGAAAATTCATAAATTGAATCATAAAGATGCAGTCTGTCCTTATTCTTTGCAATTTCCACATTTGAGAATTTATCTAATCATTAAAATTTGTCATATCAAAATCAATCTGGTGATTCTTAAAAATTACTCTTTTATAAGGTTATATGTCTTATGTGTGTTCACAATGAGAAGGCCAGAGATCAATTTGGAGTGTCTTAATCACTCTCTACCCTATTTTCTGAAGCAAAGTCTCTAACTGAACTGGAGCTCACCAACTGGGCAAGACTAGCTGGCCAGCAAGCCCCTGGGATCCTCCTATCTCCATGTTCTCAGGGGCAGGACTGTGGGTTTGCACCACCACAGCTGGGTTTTAATGTGGGTGCTGGAGATCTAAACTCAGGTACATCTCCTTGAGCTATTTCCATGGTCATTCTTGTACATGTGCAAGTTTGAGTTGCTTGATACTTTCATCATGTCTTGTTTCCCCGAACTGAAATAATGATTCTAAAAAAAGATAAAATAACAAATATACAATAAAAAATACGTGGGAAATGGGAGCTGGGCTTTTCTGCCTGATGGTAACACTATGACCTAGCCTGTGCAAGGCTCTGGTTTGGTAAGGCAAAACAAGGCAACAAAACTCTGCTGCTTTGTTTCAGGTCCAATTCTGCAGGTCATTGTTTTTATTCCTGCAGTTTAGTGTGGCCTATTACATGCTACATTTTCCACACTTCATGGCAGGGAGGATTTCTGTGTTTCAGTGATTTTATCATTTGTAATGTCTCCCAAATGTGAAGTGCCACCTACTATCCCTACATACAAGAAACCTATGATGCGCCCTACAGAAAAACTTGTTATATAAACTTCATCCAGGCATGAATTACAGGACTGTTGGCAGTGTGTTCAGTGGTAACGAGTTTCTAATATTTTTAATTAAGGTGTCAAATCAGTTGGCAAGTGTTGAGACCAAGGGGTGCACAGGAACCTAACCCTGTGTTTCTTGTAAGGCTGTGGTATAGCACTTACGAGTGGCTTTGTAGAACCTGTGTTCTTCATACAGTGAGAGTGACTGTGCCTTAGTTAAGTGCCTGGTATCTTTTTTTTTTTTTTTTTTTTTTTTTTTAAGAATTCTGCAATGTTTCTAGTGCTTTTTTACAGGTATTTAATGCTAGCATTTGAGGATAAGTATATATTATATTTATGAAACATTACAAATTAATACTTTTTTTTTTTTTAGTGTTGCTGGCACCTAGAACTATTTATACCTTGTTATATTAAGTCCCAAAGTGTTAAAGGTCTCAGTATGTAGCCCAGGCTAGTCCTGAACTCAAAGTTCTTTGCATGATCCTCCTGAGAACTGGGATTGCAGGTGTGCGAAATCATATTTGGCCCAAACTGGCTTTCAACTTAATGTTTTGTTGAACAATGTAATAATCGTCTTGCTGTTTGTCTTTTGGTAACTGATGCAGCCTGATGAAAACAAAGTTGATGTGCGGTATGATGCTGAGATTCTGCTCACAAGACAGACACTGTTGGACATTCAGAAGTTCCTCAATGGAGGGGAGTGGCAGCCAGGAGCCTTGGATGATGCCTTAAGTGATATTTTAATCAATTTTAAGTGCCATGATGCAGAAGCATGGAAGTGGCAATTTGAAGACTTTTTTGGCGTGGATCCATATAATGTATTTATGGTAAGATGACATGAGGGTGCCATAGATGCATCGTTGGAAAAGTACTTTCAAAACGCCAACATAGTTGAGCATGTGTTCTTAGTTGCTCATTTCAGGGATGAATAAGCAATGAAATTGTACAAATAATTCTGTTTGAGTCTAGTTCTTTTAAGGCTGTTTAAGAATGACACTTATTTTATATACTGTGTGTGTGTGAGAGAGAGAAAGAGAGAGAGAGAAAGAGAGAGAGAGGGAGGGAGAGAGAGAGAGAGAGAGTGTGCAGAAGTCAAAGGACAGCTTGTGGATTTGGTCCTGTTTCTACTATGTGGGTCCTGGGATTGAACTCATCAGGATCGATAGCAAGTGTGTTAACCTGCTGAGTTGTCTCCATGGCCAAGGCTAGCCTTTTTTTCTCCATTTTAAACTTACCTTTCTTTTTGTTTTGGTTTGTTTTTGTTGGTTGGGAAGACCACTTAGTGATGACACTGACTCCTATCTCTGTTTATAAGGTGCTCTTGTGTTTGCTCTGCATTGTGGCATTGGTGGCTACGGAACTATGGACACATGTTCACTGGTACACGCAGTTGAGACGAGTTTTTATCATCAGTTTTCTTTTCGGTTTGGGATGGAATTGGATATATCTATATAAGGTATTAAATAAGTTTGGGTTTTTTATTTGTTTGTTTTAATTAAATGTAAATTCATAGTAACCGGAGATTATAATCCACTCTTAGAACAGTCTGGTTTCAGATAGTGGTTGGATTAGCATCAGTAAAGTACATAAATTGATTATGTGGTTTGGGGGTCTGATCAGTTAGTGAAGAAAAGTAGTTCTTTTTGTCACCTGCTTACTATTGGCCATCACAGAGCAAAATAGACACATTTTAGAAACTCATAATTCAGGAAATGAGCTTTTATTTTTAGAAATGACACCAAAATTATGATAGAAAAGATGATCTCTAAAAATTAGGCTTTTTGAATATAAAAGTTAGGTATGTTCACTGTGAGAAATTAGAAAATAGAGATACAGGAAAACTAGTTTTTAAAACTCAACATTAATCTTATTACCTATGAATAATGATTGTTAAATCTTTATCTAATTTTTACTTTTTTAAGAGAGGGTCTTGATGTGTAGACTAAGCTAGCCTTGAACTCAGAGCTCTGCCTGCCTTGAACGTGCTGGGATTAAGGACATGGACTGTTGATGTTTTTTATGTATTTTTTTTCCCAAACTTTTTTTCCAGCATTTTTAGTCATCTTTCAAAATTGGAATAAGATTGCAGAAATTTAAAAGGACTGTTGTTAACAGAATAGTCTAATCACGGGGGGGTGGGGGGGGCAGCATTTTAACTTAGTCTTCCTGACAAGGTGGGTCAGGACTTCAGTGAGTTTCTGATGAAATCATTGTTACATTTCCTTTAGCCTTTGCTCTGGTTTCTGTGGTCCTGAAACAAACCACTTACACATAGGACTTGATGGAGAGTTGACTGCTTTAGTGAGTTCCCCTGGGAATGTGGTTTTAGGAAAACTGTACACCTGCCCCTGGATGAAAAAGAGGCTCAGGTCTGGAAACCCCTCCTTACACATACTCTGCATAAAAGCTGTGTATACCCTCTCAGAACATGACATCATCTGTTGGTCCCTTATTCCTAAAAGTGCTGGGTAAATAGCTGCACATGTTGAGTACCGATGCAGTTTTTCCAGCCGGTATTGGATAGTAATCATTTATGTTAACCAGAGCAAAATACCCTTTTATCACGAACTATGAAATAACTTGAATTGTTTATATTTTCAGTCATGGTATGATCTATATATGAATACTTGCCAGGTGGTGGTGGCCTTTTAATCCCTTGGGAGGCAGAGGCAAGTGAATTTCTGTGAGTTTGAGGCCAGCCTGGTCTACAGAATGAGTTCTAGGGGACCAAAAAAACCTAAAACAACAACAAAAATGCTTTTCTAGCTGGGTGTGATAATGTGTACCTGTAGTCAAGCACTTGGCTTGTGGAAGCAGGAGGGTCAGGGGTTCAAGGTCATCCTCAGCTACATAGTAAGGTCATCTGGGCCATCAAAGACCTTGCCTCTAAAAACCCAAAAGAAGGGGGGGAAAGTGCTTTTCCATGAACTAAAAATAACCAGTCTTTAAAAATGTTGTTTTTCTTAATTTAGGCTGGATATAGTGTGTGTGGGGGGGTCTTCAGTTCTCACATTTGTGAGGCAGAGGCAGGAGGACAGCCTGGTCTACAGAATGAGTTTCAGGACAGTCAGAGCTACACAGAGAGACCATGTCTTTAAAAAAAAAAAAAAAAAAAGTCTTGCTTGGATAAATGGTAGAATATTGGACTAAATTCTGTTGGATCTGCAAGCCAAACCCTCATTGTCAGCTTTTTTCTTGCCTCCCTTTGTTCTGGTCAGATAGCTTTTGCTCAGCATCAGGCTAACGTTGCCAAGATGGCACCATTCAATGATGTGTGTGCTGCGAAGATGGATTGGATTGGAAGTCTCCGGGGTAAGGTGTCTGTTTATTTGTCAGCATTTTAAGTAGAATTCTGTTAATCAGGGAAAACAAAACCCACCAGTAATATGAGAAGAGGATGTACAGGGCACACACGCTAAGGCTGGGGGAGGGTAATCCGGCTACTCCAGACACTCTCAGGTTTGATACCAGCTTCGGCAATTTAGCAAGACCCTGTCTCAAGATAAAGGGGATGGGATGTAGCTCTGTGTTAGAATCTTGCCCACCTTGTGAAATAATAACAAAATGAAAGCAAAGAAAACATGCATTCTTAAGTTTAAACTGTAGTGATTTACAAACTCACCTAAAGTCACAGGGAAGACAGCAGCTGTGTATGTGTGGTTTGGATGTCTCCCTCTCCCTCATTAGACTGAAGGGTCCCAGGCTCCCTTTTCATTACCTCCCATAGCATTTTCTAGATATAATAAGAACTGTTTTAGCTTTAGTCTCCTTAGATGGACAAAAACTACCATTTTATAGCTTTCTTAGGTTTTGTTTTTAACCACGTGAAAATTTGTTTATCCTTCCAGATTTTGTGAGAATTCTCACTAGTATTGACCACTGTAACTGAAAATCTAGACTGGAATGGTTTAATGTTGAAAGGCTCAGTATAAACACAAGTCTGTAGTGACTGACACAGGATAGAATCTAATTGATTATACAAGTAGGTCCCAAATTCACTTAAAAACATTTTATAGATTTTTAAAATGTGTTTAGTGTTTTGCCTGCATGTAGTTTTGAGCATCACACGTGTGCCTGCTGCCCAAGGAGGTCAGGAGGCATTGGGTCCCCTGGAACTGGAATTAATGGATGGTGAGCCACCATGTGAGTGCTGTACACCGAATCTGGTATTATGCAAGAGCTACAAGTACGCTTAACCACTGAGCCATCTCCAGCCCCCTGTTGTCCCCTTTTTAAGTTGTGGGAGTAGACCAGTTCAGCTTGGGTTCTTGGCTTCAGAAGACGATATGCCTCCTCTAGTGCAGGGCAGTTTCCAAATGTGCATAAGGCTGCTTTAGAAAAATTAAGAGACTCTTAAAAGTTTTGTCAGAGTTGACTTTTTAAAGTGAATTTTTATTGAGATAATTAGAGATTAGTAGCTATTTTTTTCCCAGTTACATTTATACAGCTACAACAGTACACTATTGAGCCAGGATATTAAGTACTAGTCTTATTCACACTTCTCAGTTTTACTTATGTTTATTTGTGTGTATAAAAAAACTAATTATTGTCCCTTTGGAAATCTATAAAGTAGACTCTTTTTGTCTCCATCAGATTTGTCAAATTTGAATGGATTTTGAAAATATGATTTTGGACTTGATATTAAATACAACATTACAGAGTCTTTTTAAAACCTAAAACAACTTGAAATTTACTAGTGGTTGGGCAAGGATGGTAAAAAACCAAAGTAATTTGTGAAATACAACTTTGTTTTTCCTTAACTGATTGTCTGTTTCTCTACGTAGAATGGTTTAGAAGTTCATGGACCTACAAGGATGACCCATGCCAAAAGTACTATGAGCTCTTATTAGTCAACCCTATTTGGTTTGTTCCACCAACAAAGGTATAGTGTATTTTGTAATAATTACAGTATCACAAATTCTTTGCTTTTGTAAAGGATTAATAGGGTTAAAAATAAACCTTGTTCTAGGAAAAACTACTTCCTTTAAACATTGGTCTTCAAATTTGGGTAGCCATGGAGTTGTACCTATCAATCCTAGCAGAGGTGGGAGGGCGGAGTTCAAGGCCTAATTAGGGTATAGTCTGAGCTATATGAGAGTCCCACTCTCAAAACAATACACAGAAATGTGCATTTTAATTTGTGTAATTTGAGCCTGAGCGCACAGTGAAGTTTTGCATGTGGATGTCTGTCTTTTAAAGAAGTTGCTCTGATCTTTGGTTTTAGGTTCTGGCAATTACATTCACTAACTTTGTAACAGAACCATTAAAGCACATTGGAAAAGGAACAGGTGAATTCATTCAAGCACTCATGAAGGAGATTCCAGTGTTACTGCAGATTCCAGTGCTGGTGATTATGGCATTGGCTGTCCTGGTTAGTACACTAGCCTAATTGCTGATAATGAACAAGATTGTGACTTATAAAAAAGAAGGCAATTTAAAGCAATTAGATTTCTTTGGGTTAATACTGTACTCAGAGGTATAAGGTGATTTTTAATGAGTTGAGATTTTATATATTCCTCTAATCAGTAGTTCTTGTGTTTGTAGGCACCATAGCAATGATTTAGAATAATTTCTTTTTAAATTTAACTTGAATACACAGAAGGTTGATTGTGTCCTCTGTAGTGAAATGAGGCTTTATTCTAATCTGAGTTTTGCAACAGAAAGGGGTGTGTGTGTATTGAAAAGCAGTTGAGTTTGTGGGGGTGTCTGATATTTATTAAAAATATTGCTCGTAGTTCTCTTGCAGTTGGTTCAGCATTTTGTTGTTTATGGCCAAGACCTTCCCAAAGCACTTGCTGTCTGAATAAAAAAAAAAAAAAAAAGTGACTCCCCAGCGATTTGGAATTACAGTGCTGTATGCACTGACGAAATTATTCTCTTTTGGGTTTTGTCTTGGTGCATGATTGATTATGTGGTTCAGTGGTTAGTAGTTTTCATCATCTGCCCTATATGAGTGTTAATAGAAACATGGGCAATGACCAGGTTTTTAAATTTGTATTTCTAGAACTTTCTAATTTAAATGGCTAGGTCTAAGAATACTCTTGTTATGAATTCAAAGTATATCAAGCTGATTGCAATGTTTATGTACTATTGAGTTTAGTACATTTCATTGGCTACTTTGTCCTCTGAGTTTTTAAAGAGTGAAATGAACAGTTTTTATATCCACAAATGCTAAGATGATTTTGTTAAATCCTGAATAAAATAGCTCCTTCCTTACCCGTCAGTCACTAAATCTTCAGAATTATTTCATTTCTTTATAGAGCTTCTTCTATGGTGCTGGAAGGTCAGTTACCATGCTGAGACACGTGACTGGTCCTGAAAGAGAACCTCCCTGGGCACTTGAGCCAGGTGACAGAAGACAGCAGACGGAACCCAACTATAGACTCCACGGTGGAGCAGGTGATGCAGATTTCTCTTACAGGGGCCAAGCTGGCTCCATCGAGCAAGGCCCTTATGACAAAACGCATGCGTGTGAAAGAGATGTTTTGAGACAGAGACACGTTGATGTGAGATTTGACACTGGCAACAAGAGCCCTGAAGTGCTCCAGGCATTTGATTTACCTGACACAGAGGCACAAGAGCATCCCGAAATGGTACCCAGCGTAAGTCAGCAATTGTTTATTTTGCTGCCTGTTCACTCTAGGCCCAAGACCTTACAGAGATTTGTGTTTGTTCTTTACCCTCTGCCAAGTCTCTAGTGGTAGGATTAGTAGTTATCCTTTTCATTTTTGTCACCAGCTCAGCATCCTCAGAAAATGAGGTTTGTTTATGTTAAATACCGTTTAACTGTATTCTTTACAACAGATGGCAGGTGTGTTTCCTATGAAAATGAGCAGGACGCCAGTGAGAATGAACTGTCTGCTTTGACAGGATCAGAGAAGGCCTCACTGAGGGCCTAAGAGTGCTAGGGGACTAGTGCAGAGCTCTGGTGGCCCAGCCTGGAAGAGTGGGTTGGGCAGGGATCAGAAGCCCTGCTTTCCCCTTCTCTGAACAGAATCCCTATCGTTTTTTAGTGTAGAAGAAAGTAATAGCACAGTCGGCTAGACTGGACTTTTTAGCTGAGGTATTGATTTTTGTTTATCAGCAGTTCTGGGCATTGAACCTGGGGTCTCACACATGCTAGGCCACTGAACTACATTTTATAGCATCACTATTGGTTTATTTTAAAGGGACATTTCCTTTCTGCCTGATACAGGAATTGGTATTGCCATTTGCAATGAGTTCCACCTAGAAACCTTTGAGAAAGCTCTCAAGTATGAGAGACTCTAGAAATGACAGGCATGAGTTCTTTTTACAGGTATTAATGTAGCTGGATATTCTGAGACTGTTCCTTCAGCTTTTATAGCTGTTGATGACCGGTCATTCTAAACCCCTCTAAAGGCATCTTCCCCAGCCTGGGAACTCGCTGCTCTGCTGTGCCTCTCATGTACCACCTTACTAATCATCTGCTCTCCTCTGTGCTTGTTCTGCCTTTCGTCTGCTTCTGTGGTTTGCTGTCTAAATTGCTGAGCACATATGTGCACACACAAAATCTTCAGCCTTTATTCACCTCATCTCAATCTTCCATCTAATCATAATTATCATCCACCTCATTTTTTTTTCCCTATAGAGTGTGTTCTTCAAATGTAATTAATGCTCTTCTTGCATGCTGCATTCCCACACTTAAGTGTGGGTTCCTATGGGAGCTGTATTTGTGTTTTGCTCCTTTATTCATTCGCACCTAGAACTTAAATCAGGCTCAATAGATATGAAGTGATTGTTCTCACCAGGTGGGGAGAGACAGTATCCATTCCTTGTAGCCAATCCTCTTGACCTCTCCTAAACAGGGTCAGTAAACCCCCTTCCCAGTCCCCCCATCCTTCCATCTACAGTTCTGGGAGGCTTAGTGCTTTAATGATGATGCAGCTCTAGAGCTGGGATTTTAAAATGTTTGGAGCACACTACAATAGATTGGGATAAGAATTGGCAATGAAACATTTACATTTTATTAAATACAATTCTGTATTTTCAAGCATAAATCATCCATCGTGAATACAAACCTCAAAGAAATTGGTGAACTCTCAGGAGAAAGCATCCCTACAGAACACAGCCAGTCTACCACCAAGGCTGTCTCTGACCAAGCTGCAGGGACTGCAGAAGGCTCACCCATAAAGGAGGACCCACTGAAGCCAGACTCTGAGTGCAGCCCCCAGGGAGGCATAACTCACAGCCCAGCAAGTGCAGCATGTGGGGCTGATCCTGTCAGCGGCCCGTGTGGAAGTCATCTTTGAAGTCTGTAAAGTACTAACTCTTCATTTTCCCCTAAAAATATATTGAAATTTATACAAAGCTGCCAGCTTTACATTAATTTTTTACATACCATCAATCTCTTGTATATTAAGATGTACCTCATAATTTTAGAACAGGGTTATGTACATGTTTAGATGATGCTATGGCAAAATATACTGTAGTTAAGGACAGTGATGAAATAATTTTGTTAACAGGCATTTAGAAGAACCAATTAATCAAAGTATATGTTAACTGGTGGAAGGTCCTGTGAGACCTAGTTTACTAACAGAGTAATTGGTTGGTTTTGACTTAGATTCAGTGTTTCCATAGCAATGGGTGTTTAATGCGGGCTGGCAACTACAGTAGGCCACCTGCTGAACAATGTGACTTTCTGGTTATCAGGCCTGCTTCATTGTCACCTTTTACATTGGGTCTCACTAAGACAAACCCGAGGATGGCCTGGTTCTATCAATATTTCAGTTTCTCACTTTATCAGTGACTTTGATAATGGCTTTATTCTCCACCACAAGGTGCTGGATTTTTCAAGACCCAGCAGTTGATGCTATGCAGTTTTTATTAGGGCAAGCCACATTCTCTTGGCAAAGTGCAATTCTGGTTTTCAGAGAGCTGTAGAGAACAAGATGTATTTACTGTGGAAAAATTGTCAATCAAAAAACAATTTATGTCTTTCTATGCACTTAGTCAGGTGTCCTTTGTTGTAACCATATCCACACTGCACATTTTATTCAGCTGCTTTCCGAACAATGATAGCACTCAAGAAATTATCTTGAGATTATCAGTTATGCTATTTTAGCAAGGACATTCAGAACGGTTGATGTTGATTTCTTTAGATGTATGTTATTACTTGGGTATCTGAAAGACTTAGTTTGTGTTTCTTGTTTATCATAAATGTCTTTAGTATTTTATCAGGAAGGTAAAAATTCCCAATAGCAGACATTATCATAGCAGACATGTAATAAATGGATGCATATAGTTTTATTTAGACTCTGAACATCTGTGCATAGAAGCAGTTATCTCTGTGGACTGGACCCATTCACCCTAACTGTTATTTGCACTCCCATATAACAGATGTTCCTGAGAGGAAAGGCAGTGCTGTTGCACTACTGATTATTTTTAATCCAAAATGTGAACACTTCTACAATCTCATCTTTGTACTTTTCCATTACAGATACCCATTTGGGAATGGAATCTACTTTGACAGCTAGCAAAGCAACATGCTGTTCTTGAATGATTACAGCAATTCAGGGAAGACTTGATTAAAAACAAAGTGAACATATCAAGGCCAGTTTATTGCAGAAGAGAGAAGGCTGTTTCAGATGACTAGAAAGAACTTGTCATTGAGGTGAACTCATATTGTAACTGGCTTTTAAGAAAATGAGAACAGGGTAGGTAGCTGTTTAAAGCACTTTTTAAAATGGGTCTAATGCTTACAGGGTCTTAAGAACACTGTAAACACAAAATAAACATTGTCTTGTAAAAGCAAACATTACATGATGGCATGGTCTAATGGGGGCTGAGGGCCTAACCAATGCCCTTTGTGAATTTTCATGTGTAAATTTTCATGTGTTTTCTGCTTATATACTTTGTGTTTTTGACCAAACATACCAAATGATTTTCTGTTTTTTCTGTTTTTTCCCATCAGTATTATGTAATAAGAGACAAATAGCCCAAAGCACGTGAAAAGTAATTTATTTCTTATCTCTCCCACTGGCTTTGCCTAAAAATATATTGAATATAGTTTTTTCTTAAAGAAACTAGAATTTTATGACTATTTTTCATTTTTTTACATAGGACATTTACATTATTTCCAACTAAACAATGCAATCCACTATATTCAAGGGTAAGTATAAAAAAGTCAGCTCTTACAGTAAGAGGACTGAATTGTAATGTAGGGTTCATTTAAATTCCTAGTTCACAAATGCTAGTCAAGGAATCTAAGGGTAAGTTGCTGGAGCACCTACAGGACATTCTGCCCTGAAACAAGCGTCTACAAGAATGTCAGCCCCTGAGTACTTCAGCGTTTACACCTAAAAACATGGTAACTACTACAGTGTTGTATAGTTTCTTCCTTTTAGAAAAGGTTGAATTTCCCTGCAGTGGTCCAAAGGGAACTAACTAGTCGACTTTAGTAGGAAATACCACAGCATCTAGTGGTTTGCTACTTACTTTCCTGAATGCTTAAATTCCAACAAAGCATTGTTTTGCAAAAGTTCCTTGAGTCCAAGCTCAGTGTCTCTGTTTGGATCTCTCTGCAAAAGAACTCTTTGTTCATCCATTCTTTTAGCTTGAGAGCGTAAAATGAGGCTAAAAAAGTCTTCATCAGGAACGGTTGGCCCCTTTGTGGTGGCAGGTGGTGGAGCACATCTTTGATCATCTAATCTGGACCCCTAAAGATAGAGAGAAATTAAAACACAATGACCAGGAAGGGCAGTGCCCAGCTGTAATGTCTGACATCACCTATGAGTGTTTCTTTTGGCCTTTTTCAGACACTTGATGGAAGGAGAATGTAGTATTAGGAAGAAATGGGCTGCATAAGTATATTGTGACACCGCAAAGCAAGGGCAACTGCAAGATTGGGATCTTAACAGAAATAGCTTCCCAGACTTTACAGGGGCAGGGCTTTGTATATATTTCTAAATGACCTAGGGCAACAAACTGTAGGCACTAGGTTACATTTTACTTTTGAAGCTATTTGCACAAATGGTTTTTAAATGGCAATCCAGAAGGGTTTTATCTAACCAACTATGTACAAAACAGATGTCTCCCAGTCACTACCCATCCTGACCATCCACTGCCCCTTCATCCTTTGTTTTCTTTACAGTAGGTACCACTGCATGCCTGTCTGGCTCTAGCACAATGTACACACTTGCCCTCTGTCTTCCCACTAAAAACGCAGGACCCTGCAAGAGCATCCTTGATATCCCAAATTGATCTGTAACGTTAGTGGTGTTCCATGGTGCTCTGAATGTAGACAGGTAAAATAATAATGATCACAATGAGCCCTTCCTTGTGCCAGAGCTGCCTGTACTATTCTACAGATGGAATGTGTGTACACTTACTTGACACTTCACAAGGATGTCGAAGAAGTCTTCATCAGGCTCGCTCTTGTCATTTCTCATCAGGCGCTCAAGTACAGACTGATTGTTGTTTTTTGTCAGACGGAGCCCTGGCAAATTACTGAAACTAGCCCTCTGGTCATCTAGACGGCGGCTCTGTGAGCTGGCTAGAAGGTCTAAGAACTCATCTGTGTTGGGGGATACCACAGAAACAGACGGTGCTATGGACAGGTGGCAAAGAAAAAAGCACGTAAATGTTAACCATGTGCTGAAACACCTGTGTGCTCACCATTCTCCACCTGCTGTGGGCAGGCCACTGCTTGAGATGCACTCAGACCCAAAATAACAGGCATGGGCTGTATTTTAGCACATAAACAAATGGTGTTGGTTTTTCCTTATATAATTTCATGCAATGTTTGTTTTAACATCCAGAGCATGGAAGAAAAGACTGGTCAATCTTTGTTTTTTCAAGATAAGGTTTCTCTTGTAGCCCTAGCTGTCTTAAAACTCACTCTGTAGACCAGGCTGGCCTGCTGTTGCAACCAAAGGTGTACACTGACCAATCAATCTTTTAGTAGGGAAATATAACAATAAGTAATGTATTTTAGACTTTTTAAATTTCAGATATGAAATAGATGCTTTGTTATTTGTATATTGCACAAATAGCTACCTTGTGTTTGTATGGTGCTGCAGACAGAGGACCTACTACCTGCTAGACACTGCTCTACCACTTAGCCCAGGCTGGCTTTGAATTCACTTTAACACTCCTAAGTGCCACATACTATGATTATGGGGCCTTTTACTGTATTTCCGATAATGAGACGTACAAGAAATGATAGTTAAAACTGGGGAGAAGCAGGCATGATGGTGCCTGTAATCCCTGCACTTGGAAGCAAGAGGGTCAGGAATTCGAGGCCAGCCTGGGCTATGCCTCAAATAAAATGAACTAAAACTGAAGCAGTAAAGATGGCTAACCTTTCATCATCTTGGGGGTAGTAGAAGCTGCTGCTGTGGATGCTGTGGGGCAGTTTTCTTGTAAGTAGCACCTCTGGTCATCCATCCTGTTGCTTTGAAATCGCCTTAGTAAGTCAAAGAATCCTTCATCTCCAATAGTGTCTGCACTGGTTTTCTAAAACAGAAAATCTAGTATGCTTAGTTACTCACCTTTATCCTTAGGTCATCTGTGAACATCATGATGTAATCAAATGCATGATTAAAAACAAAAAACTGGCCTTTATTTTAAAGAATTCAAGTGGCAATACTGGTAATAAAATGCTCCCATATTGACCCCACAACAAATCACTTTTAATTCCTGTATTTAATATATCTTTAGCCTGGACACTCATAACTATGATCTTAACTTCTTAAACATTGAGGCAGGAGGATCACAAAGTTCAAGGCCATGTCTGGCAAACTTGGTAAGTGTCCCAAATAAAATTTTATAGACGTTCAGGAGCTAGAGCTCAGTGATGGATTACACAACTTGTTTAAGACTCTAGATTTAATTTCCACTACAAGGAAAAAAACACTTCAATTTCCAGAGAAATGCAGACCTAGGTGGGTGGAACCCACTGCATGGTTAAGCTACATGATATAGTGTAGAGTGCCTGTAAGCATGTGGTCTTTGCAGAAGGGAATGTGATCGTGCTACTGTATTAGTAATATAGAGGCACCCCAGGCTCAATGACTTCACAATAGAATTTAAGTAAACTATACTTGCTTTTCCAGTTTACAAAAATTAATTTCCTAAAATCTGAAAGGATTTTTCCCATGTGGGGGACACCAGAACTAGGAATCAAATGCATAAATCCTCAGGAAATCCCATCCCCTCCAGTTCTTTTTATTAAAGACAACCCTGAAAAAAAAAACCCTCATTAAATGTTTGAAGAAAGGAGGGAGGGGCCTTTCATTTGGAGTGCTTAGAAAGTTCTTTGATACTGACCAAAAGCCCAAAGTGTCTTCATTTTATAGTAAGTTAAATTCAAAAACCTGGTATACTTTTAATAAGAAAGCAGTTAGGTTTCAGTAATAGGATGAAATAAAAGCTGGTGCTACTAAATACTTTTCTAAGTGTCTATTTAGAATTCCATGAAGATTAAAAAAAAAATTCACTGGCTTCTGTTCTACTAGGTCTAGTGCTGTAAAACTAATTCATTAAAAATAAAACCTTGAATATCTGAATTAAATTTGTTGTGATTTCAAACATAAATTAGTCTTACTAGCAAACAGTAAAATAGTTTTGCAACAGTGACTTAAAATAGTAATTAATGTCCAAATCAATGGAGTAATTTATAATCAGAGTAGGTCCTAGCTGAGAACCAGGAAAGACTGAAAGACACATTCTTTGACTAATATATATTACCCATTTGTTGACAATTTGGTATGACTACAAGAAAAGTGTTACAGTTGGGTGTTAAGGTCTAAACTCCTGATTTAATACCTTCTGAGGCTTTGGAGCTCGGTGGTCGATGGAGTTGCTGGCGTCATGAAGAGCTTTAGTGTTGCTGCTGCTTCTATACTTTTTCCCCTTCAGCCTATTGACAAACAGCAGCTTTGCAGAAGGTTTGGCAATAAGAGGTTTTTGTTTAGCGAGGATTTCACTGTTCCAATTTGGTACCTATAAATTTTAAGTGAAAAGCAAGGCATGAAAACCCCACCTTCACAGTGACTATCAGCATGAAGGATCATAGGTCCTTGGGTGGCTTTTTTGTTATGTATGTTTTGTTTTCAGATCAAGAGTCTCATTATGTAGCTTTACTGGCACTTATGCTGGTCCTGTGAGCCTTCTGCCTCAGCCTCATATCAAATGCACATTGAATGCTTTTAGAATGTAAGAGTAAGAAAATGAAGTTTACCCAAATCCGTTAATAATACATCTTGAATGGTCAGAGATGGCAAAGTATTATTCTGGATGTAAATTATATATCTTACAACAAGAAACTTGTGAGTATATGTAGAATTAGTATCTAAGTTTATATAATACAAATATACTTGTTGATAAAACTAGTGATTTTACTAATATGAAGTAAATTCTCAGAAAAAAGTCTCACACATACCCACCTTCTCTCACACACAATTTTTTAAGAAGAACTTATTTCCTCTAGAAACATTTTTAAATTACATTTGCTGTGTGTATGTCATGACACACATGTAGAGATCAGAGGGTAAGCTGTGGGAGTTTTAGAGGCTAGTTATGCAAAAAGTATCAAAATTTTATAAACCATATGCTAGCTGTAACAACAGAACAGAAGAGTTTAAGGGAAGGCAAAGACTGGTTTTCACACTTTGTCTCTGCTGGCCTCCAGCATCCAATCCTGCTTCAGCCTGCTGTGCTAGGGCTACAGATGCCCTGCTACCATGCCCCGCTGAAAGATGTTCGTGATGCATGACTGCTTATTAGAAAACAGCAGCTGTTAATATTCAAATGAAATATTTGACAATTAATATTTGAAGTTACCATTGGGATGAGAGATTATTGATTCTTCTGATTTCTTATAATTTCCTAAAGTTGCTATAAAGAATATTTTATAAGAAAGTACTTTATAATCAATCCTACAGAGGAGGAGAAAGGAGTGTAGGAGCCAAAGGGATCAAGGACACCATGGGAAGACTCCCACAATCAACTAACCTGTGCTCATAGGGGCTCAGAGACTGAACCAACAACCAAGGAGCCAGCATGAGACTGACCTAGGCCCTCTGCATATATGTT